TCACCAAAGAAAATATGTATTCTAGGAAAACATTCCTCAAAGGAAACCTGGACAGATTTCCAGGCTGCTCTCCTACAAACCTGGCTGTGAGCAAATTATGTCATCACAGAAGGCAGAGGTCAGCTCATGCCTACATGGCCATCAAACATATCATTATTTTTTTCATCTGAACCTTCTTGTATAGAGTTACAGCACAATTGTTCTAATTTCAGCTTTTCTGTCAGGTAACAACATCTTCTAAACATCCTCTGTGTTGTTTCTCACAGCTCCAGCCTGTCAGCACATGGATGTTCCACATTCAGGGGTTCTGTTTGCCATTATCAAAAGAACACCAGCAGGTCACCAGGAAATTTGAAACAGAGCAACAGGAGCAATTTCAGCAGTCAGAACATACCACAAATGAACTAAGTGAACCATGAGACATCTATTGCACAAAGAATTCTTCATTCCCAGCTCTGCCTTTTTTCACTTGTTATTTGCATCTTAAAAATTTCTGTCAGCAGAACCTTCTTCCTGCCCCAGAGAGGGGCTCCTGGTTTATGAAAGACAGCCTGTCAAAGAAGCTCCTTGGGCTTTCCCTGGCAACAAACCCATCCTAATACTGCAACGAGACCCAACAAATTCACAAAGTTATTGCCCCTCCTGCCACACTCAACAAGGTCAGCTTGGAGGGCTGACCATTAATTCCCCATGGAGTTAATCCACAAACTGGATTCTAAACACCACCACCAATTCTTGCATGTCACCAGAACCTGCTGATGTTTGAGGAAGTTTCCCATTTGACAAGATCACATTCCTAGAAAGGGCTTTAGTTTCATTATTCCAAGAATGAATTCTGAGCAGGTGAAGGAAATAGTGGCTGCAATATGCAACAGAAAGTCTGGCAATGGGGAAATCAGAGAGAAATACTCCTTGTTTTCTAAGCACAGTCATCAAAGATTTGACAGCTTTAGGTTTTGGCTGCCCTGCATGGCACTGCAGATTTCTGGTTAGAAACCCTTGGTGCTTCCCTTCCATCAGGTGTTGCTGCTTTCACTGCTGCTGGCTGTTTCTTATGCAGCTTGGAGAGCTGCTGCCATTTTGGAGCACCATTCCCCTTTCTGCAAATCACATTTATGTGCAGTAGGATGCTCACAGACATCAGCTTTCCTTGCTTTTCCTAGGGAAATTATCCCTTAAAAAATCAGTAGTGTGTCTACAACAGCTGTGCAGATATAATAATAAAAACCAAGGCAGAAAGCAGCAGAGTTCATGGTCAGCACCCCTTCCTTCTCATCACTGCCTGCTGATACTGAACCTCCAGATAATACAAGTTTTAGAAAGCAGTGGATTAAAGTGGATTCACCACAAGTACTGCAGCCAAGGGTTTTTTCAGGGCTGGTATCCACAAGTTGCAGTGTAATGAGTTCCTGTGCTCCATTATTTATGGTATTGTAACACAACACTTTCCAAAAGCATTTGCTTTCCTGTCTAAAAGGATTTTCCTGTGACTGCTGTAGTGAACTTCAAGCCTGAGTTACTTTTTACATGTCAAATATATTCACAGAAGTGAATCTGACAGATAAAATAGAACTATTGTGGTGGCTTTTGTAAAAGATGAACATGTATTTTTGTTTTTCCACTTCATGGTCCTGCATTGTCAGTTGCAAAACATAGATATTTATAAATATATTTTTATATATATTATATTTATATATTCATACATATTTATATATTTTATATTATCTTAATTATATTTATAAATATTTATATGCAAACATATAAATGCACCTATACACACTCATATATAAGTACACATACACATTACACACCTCTTTGTGGGTATCTCTCCCTTAGCAGTTCCTGAGGTTGCAGTTTGATGATTTCTGCCTGTGAGCTGCAGTCTCAGATCTCCCCTCTTCATCTCTCCCCCATTTCCACTTCCCTGGTGTTCCTGGTGCCCCCAACTAAACTGGGAGCTGAGGCAGCCAAACCAGGAGAAATCTGGCCCAGAAAAAACACACATATAAAATAAAAAACCAAACCAAGACAAACCTCCCAACCTCCCCCCAGCTCCGCCACCACCCCCAAATCTTTTTGCCTGTTTAGGTCCAGACTGGGGATCAGGGTTTGGTTTTATTTTAAAATGATAGTAAGGTTTTACTCCAGCATTCCTCACATCAATACTTGCTAATCACCTGCAAGAAATTATTACTATTGTAATTTTTTCTAAATAATCCTTCAAATCTTTTGAGGAATGGTTTTTCCAAACACCACCGTACGTGGACAGTGGGTGCCTGTCCAACTGGGTAATATTTCTTAAAATACTTGCTTAGATTCTCTAATAAAAAAGATCTTGTAAAATCATATAAGTTTCCATATTAAAGTCTCATTGAAGGAGAGACTGCAAAATAAAATTCATGTTTGTAGAGTTGATAATGCATTATTTATCCTACAGGAATGCCTCTATAACAGCAGTCAGAAAGCACAACCAAAGTACTAAAGCTGTTAAACAGAGGGGGAAAAAATCACACCTCAAAACAAACAAACAAGGAAAAACAAAAACAAACCCTAAAAACAACAAAAAATTTAAAACCCCACAAAATATTTGGAAATTAAGGAGAAAAGACAAAGTTGAAATCTCTTTTATGACCTTAATTCATGTTCATTCTGCCCTCATTAGAGAACCTTATCTGCAGAAACAGAGCAGGAGCTGTTTGCAATGTCAGTTCTACAAGCAAAGATCCTGTGCATAGAAAAGAACACAGGAAATGAACATCAAGATCATAAACTAATAACAAAATACAAAAAGCTATTACAAAAACACAACTATCTGAATTATTTGGAATTCTCTCCGTGGCCACAACAATCTGTAGGCACAGCTGTGAAGCTGCCAAAAAGCTGTTTAATTGAAAGTCTGGCATGTGTTTTTTACTATCTTACTCATTTTTTAAAATGTGATCTTAATTGCAAAAAATGAGGGGGAAGAACATTACTTGCTTTTGGAGAAAAAGATTGTTATTTTTATCCATCGTATGTATGAAGGATAAAATGCCCTAACAGAAATACATTGATATTTGAAATTAAACACTAAAATGCCAACTCTTTAATACCATAATTCACACCCCTTTACTTGACCCTTAAAATCTCCTTCCCAAGGGATCATTTCCCTGTTTATCCCAGCCTGCAGTTCAGTTCTACAAAGCTGAGCTGTGGTCCAGGAAAGGCATCAAATTAAACCCAAGGCAGAGGAATCATCTGCAGATGATCAGGTAACAGCAGCAAGAAACAGTTCCCACTGTGCCCATTTTTCCTTTAGGTCAGTGTCAGATTTCCCAGAAGCTTCTTCCCTTTTGTGTCTTGGCAGAAGGATTCCAAATTTTCCATCTTGAAACTCACTTACTGTGGGCTTTTCTGAATGGAAACCTTCCCCCTGTGCTAACAGACCCAGTAAGTGTTCTCTGTTAGCCTGATTAAGTCAGTCAAAACCTGAGGTGAGATTTTAAATAAATTCACTGGGCTTTGGGTCAGTAAAATGTAAATTAAGTAAAGATGCAGCTCATAGGAATCCTGCAAGAAGTGGCTGTTCCTTTCCCCTCACAGAGCTCAAGGAGAGTTGAGGACATCAGCTCCTCAATCTCTGACTGAGGTCTAAGAGCTTTTCAAAGACTACCACGTATGTTTGAAAGCTTCAGTGTTCAGTAGAGGCTGGAGTGACACCTTTTCCACATGCTGTAAAAAAAAAAATAATTCTATTTCCCAACATGCTGGGACTTTTCTGAAATATCTAGCAGCCCTGTTCAGGATTTTCGGAACAGACTTAGGTTCTTAAATATTATTTTCTGATAGGGAAATCAAAATTTTCTAGTCTGAATTTAAAGCCATTGTCCTGATGAATATAAAAGTAAGATGAAATGGAGGTAAAAAACACCCATGGATATTTGAGTTTAGTTATGTAGCACTCTGATTTCACTTTCTTACCTCTCCCTTCCCCAAGAGCCATTTCCATCACCCAGACTGGGGTTTGGGAGTTCGGTTTAGCCTGGCAGTAACATAGGTCCAGGGGCACAGTGTGTGCCTGCAGTCTGCTGAGAAAACACATGCTCAATATCCTAGTTTTCAGGAAATATCCCAGATCTTAATTGCTCTGAATTTAGTGCAGCTGAGGAAATAGGTTCTTAATTTGTCTGGCTCCAGCAGAAATGTTTTTCAGGTTAACTCAGTAGGGAAAGGTTTGTTTATTTTTTTTTTTTTGACCGGAAACATTCCCTTCAGGATTTGATTTAAAATGATCCTGGAATGGTTAAGCAGCAGCCACAAAGCAGGTGTACCATTTAAGATGATGATGTTGTGACTCTTTATCTCTCCTGCCTGTAGCCAGGGAGCACAGGGCAGAGGCAGGAGGGAACAGTTTCCCTGTTGTGCAGAGCACAGACAGAAACACAAATCCTGGCTGCAGCCAAGCTGGCTGCCCATGCAAAGCCCAGCTGCCCTGCACTGCTGCTCCTTTGGAGGAACAAGCTCTGTGCCCAGTCCCAGAGTGAGCAGCACCAGCCTGTCCAGGTTATCCAGCACAGCTCTGCAGCTCAGCAAGGAATCCTGCTGCCCCTTCCACCCCGACTGCCCACCCGGGCAGCGCTGCCTGAGCTCCAGAGACAGCACAGAGGAATAATCTGCTAGAGATCCAGCACGAGCTCCCCAGACCTCGTTCCACAACTGAAACAGCAGCACCACCTCCCTTCCCCCACGTTTTTCTAACCTGGCTCTTACAGGCAGGAACGGGCCAGGAGTGAGCGCTGGCTGCACTGCACTTAGGCACTGCACCTCAGGGATTATCTCTGGGTGGTTTTGAGTGCTACGTTCTTGAGTGTCTGACATGGCAGGGTCAGCAAGGATGTGAGCTGAGAAATAAAACACCAGACACTCATTTTCTTCTCACTTTACTTGCCTCCGTTATGCTGAAATAATGTACTGTGCCATTTTTCCTAGGAATCTAATGAACATTTCTTTTTTTCTTTCAGCTACGACGAATGTGTGGGGCCAGGAGCGACACAAATATATATTCCTACAGATGATCCCCCCCCATATTCCCTTATGGACCCTTGCCAAAGAAATGAAATACGTATAAATATCTGTAACAGCCAGGAAGAGGAAGCAGCAACTGGGACTGCAAGACGGGCTGCACATTCTGCAGTGAGGCTGCAGGACTTGCAGCAGCCCAGCTTGGCCATCTCGGTGATCTCCCAGTGCGGAGGCTGCTCCCCCATTCGGGACAGTGGGGTGTGAGCACACCTGCTCCAACAGAAACATGGAACATTCTCCCACTGGCCATCAGACCCCAAAACTTGTCAATGAAAGTGGCTCCTTCCTTCAGTTCTTCTGAAGAATTCAGACCAATGGAAGAATAAAACCTCTGGAAGTTTTACCAATTTTCTATCTTTAAACAGGGATACAGTGGGATTTTTTTTTTTACAATGAATTTTGCAAGATTACCTAAATTTCCCTGTTTGTGCTTCAAAGTGTTCCATGGCATCACACAGCATAAAAGAGCAGCAGACATGCAGTGCATCTGACCTTTTTGAAGCATTGCAAAACCCATTGAAATCAGCCACTCATAAAGAAGATAAATGTTATCTAGTCAAGCCTACTTGTTGATTTCATGACACTTTGCATGTTTTAGAACAGAAGGTAAAAGAAGAGCATTTTCTGGCCATTGTAGGTGTCACTAGTACATCTCATTCAGTGTATTGAAAACAAAGCGTTTTTAAATAACTCTTTGTCTAACTATGTGTTTCTGTAGGCAAAGCACTGCCTAAAAAAGAAAAGATTATCATCAGTGTCATGTAGAAGCAAAAGAAAAAAAGAATAATATTATTTTACTATTCACATTATTCCTTTGGTACCAGGCTTTCCAGAGCATTGCAAAACAGGGCTCAGAAGCAACCATCCACAAGTGGTGGAGAGGTGGCAGCAGGTCCCCGAAGTGCAGAGGCTGCAGTGCAGCTGTGCAGGCTGGAGCTGCGTGTTCTTCACGGGCCTTGCTGTAACCAGGGGAGGGCACAGGAATCCCAGAGGGTGCTTCAGGCCGATTCCCGCACACGGCTGCACTTCCAGGCACAAACCGGTGTCTTGTTCCGTAAGGAGCCCGGGTGTTCCCGTGTGCCCACGGTGACCTCCAGAACTGTGTGTGATGCAAATGAGAGACTGCGCTGGGCAGGAACAGAACAGCTCCGAACCGCAGCAGCCTCGGAGCGTTCCCAGCTTTGAGAGAAGGGACCTGGAAAAGGAACCCAACGAGTGAGCCCAGGACACTCGGATGGGAGTCCGAGGGCTCCCAGCCGTGTGCCAGGGCAGTGAGAGCTGGGCTAGGAGTTCAGGCACAGCAGGGTCAGGGCACGGCAGCAGCCCAGGGACGGCCGGGGCTGCACTCGGGGCTCCCACGGAGCCTCCCCTGCAGCAGCCCGGCCAGAGGAGCCCGAATGTGGCACCGAGGGGCTCCCGGAACGGGCTCTGGGGCGGGCAGGGCAGCGGGGACCCCGACACTCGTGGGCTCCCCTTGCTCCTTTTCCCCTCCCGGGGCCGCTGGCCAAGGCTGCCAGGGCTGGAGACGCGTTTGAAACACAACACATCCCCTGAGCTTGTGTCCGGTCACCCCGAGCTGGGCAGGAGGAGCCGCCTGGGGGACACAAAGATCTGCTTTCCCCCATTCCTTTTTTACAGCCCAGCAAAAAAAAAGTTGCAATATGCCGACTATAGGCCAGCCCTGAAATCCAGCAATAGGCGGCCAAGGAGCCTCAAATACAGTTTGGATCCTGTTGTTCATTTTTGCCTGGAAAGTCCCATTCCCCATCTGAAATAGTCCCATTCCCCATCTGAAATCTTATGCGTGTCTGACTGAGAACACACAACCCACAAGAGAGCAAGGAGAGCTCAACCCTTTGCTTTGCTTAGGAATTTCCCTTGAAAAACTTATTTTTTGTGTTGTTTTGAAATGTGTTGCTGCGGGAAAGTTGAGCTCTTAGTTTGCACTCTACAATTTAAAGTAATTTTAAGTTCTGTGTCTAATGGAAACCCCCTGGGTGAGTCTGGGTGCTAGCAGGAAGCAGAAGTGACTGCCAGCACATCAACAGCAGGGATGGAGCTCCAGCCAGCCCTTGGGGCATCCACAAGCCTGGGCTCCCTCTGGGACTAGGGACAGGAGCCAAGGAGCTGTGGCAGGGCAGCAGAGATATCACAGGAAATTTCTTAGAGGCACTTTCACTAAAATAGAAAAAAAAAAAAGAAAAAAAAAGAAAAAAAAAAAGTTTTTTACACTGAGAAAATGGACTTCATTTTCTAACCCCACTAAAGGATATGTAAAGCTGAGTACAGTAAATATATAATGGTGTTTTAAAGGAAGCAGCATCCAAATTATTAAAATTGCATTTGGATTTTCTCTAAATACTGAATAATTTTCAACTGTAATCATCATTCAACACTCCAAAGACTGACACAATTATAATTAATACTTAGATGGGAAGTAATTATATGGTTCTTACTGCTATATAAATTATACCATTACTGAGTCATATGCACATGATGAGATATAAGGTAAGCATGCAGTTTTTGCTAAGTAGATGACAGTAAATATGTATTTTGCTAAAATGAGACAATTCTTTTGCAGTTCAGCAAGATTTTCAATACTCTCAGTATAGTATACCCCAAAGAACAAAATTGCACCCTTTTGCATTGCAGAGCTGCTGGCAGGCATTGCTAGAAGGTAGGCTCTATTTCACATTTGTGTCTTTAACAAAAAGAACTGCTCCTTCCATAAAGTATTTGTTTAAACAGTTTTGTGGTATGCAAAGCACCCTGCAATGAGAGAAACAAACTCTACCCCACCTCTGAGGGCCAGAGATGCACAGAAGTGCCCCAGTCAGATTTCCTGGCAGGAGAATCAGAAGGGAGGGGAAACACAGAGGGGTTTGTGCAGAAATTTGCTTTCAGGGCTGGGTCTGCCTGCAGCTCCCAAGGAGGGCAAGGCTCTGGGACCTGCTTCCTTTGGGCTGCTGCTGGGGAGGGCCAGGGGAATCTAATGAACCCAGATTAGAAGGGAAATGTGATTTTTTTCCCCTGAAAGTGAGGCTGTTCTGCAGACAGGCACAGAGGGCTTTTCACACGTGGCAGACACGTCACCACTCTGTTACTGATGCTCAGTTTCTCTGCACGGTGGGAAACCCTTTGGTTTGGCTTTTAACTTTTTTAACAGGAATTTCCTGCCCTTCCACCAACTCTGTATCTGTGGTTTACAAAACAAGCTGACCTTAAGAAGACTTCTGATGAGAATGGGAGATTTACATATTACCTCATGTTAGCAATGCATTGGTAAAATTGTAGAAAACTAATCCAAGTCTTTCTTTCTTCCTTCCTTCAGTAGCAGTGAAGCGTCCCTGGCACTGTGCTCTGGGTTTGGCAGCATTCCTTACACACATCTGCCTGCTCCCTCTTGTGGCATGGACCACTCCATAAAATCCTGTCATCCTGTTACCACAGACTGATCCAAACAATCCCAGCTGCTGTCACACAGATATGGGAGCCAACCAAAACATCTACATCCACACTGCAGCATTTTTCTAAGTTACCACTGAATACCTGGGTTATATGATCCATTACAAATATACGTAATTCAAAAACAAATTGTGACTTGAAGGCAGAGTGTACTGCCTTCTGTGGTATCTTACCACCATCACTTGAAGGAGTGGTTTAGCATTTTCTGCTCTTGTTAATCTTTTTAACTGAGTGATATCCAACAAAGCTGGGGGGGGAGGAGCTTATAAATCCAAACAGACAGCACTAGAAAGAAAAAAATTAGCTATAAAACACTACAGAGAGAAGTTTGCAGCTCTGAAGCTACTCCAACAGTTTCCAATGCTACTACTGCAAGTGTTGAAATTCCTTGTAATGATACATTAAGAACATGTTTTTGTTTCTTGAAAATATTGCAGATCTTGGATAAATCTCAACAAAGCTGGTTGTAATGTTGCTCTTGAGAAATTCAGATATTATCCTAAACCCTTGCATAATTCTAATACCAGTGCTGAAACACAGGCTTAACACAGGCACTTGCTTTATTACATGAGTAAAATCAGAAAGAAAACTGGACATGCAACTTCTTGCTACATAACAACAACCCTGTATTTCTGTAGTCCTCTCTTCTGCTTCAATCTTTAGTACATTGATCTTATCCAGAACTTTTAGTAAAGAACACACACACACATATTTGGGTGTGCTTCTGTGCTTTTTATTTTACATCTCTGGAACTAGCCATGATCGAGCAACTGCTGAGGAAGCAACACTGTGCTTCAGTCACTTGTATTTGGACTTTATCTTTGTCAGAAGGCACAGGAACAAGCGCTGGAGCAGTCAGGTCCCTCCTGCTCTGGGGGACAAGTCAGCATCCAAGCTTAAGAAGGACAGGGTCACATTACTGAAGTCAAGACACTGAAAATGGCAACGTGTCCTCAAGGGAAAAGATGAAAAGCCAGGAAATAATAGATCAATAATCCCAGAAATGTTAAAACAGATCATTTTTTAGCACAGCAAGGTGAGTAAAGATATATTTCCTGAATGGAAACTACATCAAACTGATCTAAGGGGTCTTGCTACAGCCTGACAAATGATTCCTCTCTTAAACTACAGAAATAATTTCTACATGAAATTATGACCATAGACTTCTGTGAATTAAAATAATAATCATGAGACAATATTAATCAATTTTTGAAGTCACACGGGTGCACAACATCATGGTGGCCACAGGTGGTGAGTTGAAAATTCAGATTCCAAAATCGAGATTAGAAAAACAGGTATGTTCTCCAGCTGCTGTATCCAACCTCCATTTAACCCCACTGCAGGACACCCATCACCCCCACAGCAGACCCAGATCTCATTTAACCCCACTGCAGGACACCCATCACCCCCACAGCAGACACAAACCTCTTCCAGCTGTTGCCCAGCTCTAGCCCAGGGATCCAGAGGCGGCTTCCAGCAGGCGGAACAGAACAGGCCCAGGGATCAAACCTTGTCTCAGGGGTCTCCAGCGGGGCAGGCAGCAATTGCAATGGAAATGCTGTGTGCTTGGCTGACCTTTTAAAGGAAAGGGAAGACAGCCCCAAAAGGAACGGCCTGTTTGGGCAGGACTCAGCAGTACCTGGGGAAAGGGAATTCCAGCTGTGGAAGATCGTGACCAACTCAGTGAGCACCCACTGCAAATGAACGGGCCCAGAGCCCAGTGCAGGGACAATCACCCCTGAGAGCCGATCAGCGTGAGCGAGACAACCAGCAAAGAGGGGTCTGAGTTCTAATCAACACAAAAATTAC